AATTAAAGTAGCAGTTTAAAATCCAAATTATGGTCAGATACATTACGGTAAGCAACTAATGCGTTGGGCATGTTGTTTTGTAAAACATCCTTTTTTGTTCATTGTTTTTTGTTAATCGTTTCACGCCAAGCAAGGCGGTAGTGTAACTAGTACGCAGAGTGTTACAGAGAGTGAAAATGAAAGTAAAAGAGAAGACTGAGAATAGTGAGGATTAAGGGAAAGATAAATAAAAACAGGGTTCAAGAAAATAGATTGACGTTGGATTTAAATTTTTAAAGATTGTAGTAATCAAGGAAGCAAGAAAATGGAAGAGAGTTCCACAGGTGAAAAATGCGATAAAGAAACTGTTGGCTAGGGAGTGGCGGTTGCATTTAACTGTTTAAACAGTAAACAGGTGGGACCTAGATGCCAATCTAGTAGCATGCTTAAATTCATGTAATGAGGGCAACAAATGGAAAAAAGCTCGTCAGAACCGTTGCCATGAAAATGTTTGTAGAAATGACAAAGGGAAGCCACGTCATGTCTGTAAGAATGTGCCTGAAGTCGAGATGCCGGGTCAGGATCGATTATATAACAGATCCTTCTTAGGATTTTGTGAAGAATCTCGCAATATACAGCAGGAGCACCAGACCAGATATGGCACCAGTATTCAATACACGGGCGAATGGTAGATTTATAAATGTGCAAGATTCATACTGACAAGAAAGAATTACTGTCACTGCACAGGGAACCAATTTTCCTTGCCGTAGATGAAACAATTCATACGATATAGTCACCCGACTTGTCAGTGGAAAACGTGAGACCAAAAAGGTGTAATGTGTTGATCTCCTGGAGTTTAGAATCAGCCATGCTGATAATCTTTTATTTAAATTCCTATGTATTTTGTGTGGCAATTATTAAAGATGATAGACTAAATTCCTACTTCAAGTTTTAGGTTAGTATTTTTTTTGTTTTTGTTATGCCATAGTATCTATTCTATTGTAATGGACTCTCCCATAGATAATAAGTAAGAGTAGCAGTGGCAAGTCTGGCAGAATGGTGTTGAGCAGGTCAGTCGAGATTCGGATATTTGAAGTACCAACCATCACAACCAGATTGCTGTGCCATTGACTCTTATTTTCCAAGTTCCTAACGTTTTGTACGTCGGACCTAATTTAGGACGACTTATTAGAAATACAAGCCTCCACTGTGAAAATACTCCACAACAGTTTTGTATTAATTAATTATTTTATTGTTTTAGAAATATTTTTGACAAATTATTTTTCAATTATAGTTGGTAGATATATATCATTTTCACATATCCTGTTATCAGGGATACGCCTAAGCCTCTACCTGCTTCAAAAACTGATTTCCAGAAATTAATTTGTATTCGCCAAAATCTCCTTCTACAAAATAACAGAAGAAAAGAATAACTGAATTTTTACTTTTTTTTTTACACAAAACAGGGCCTAAGAGCCACTCAAGGTAGAGGGTTACTGTTGTGATATGGGATCAGGTAAGTCACAACGCTTAACTCGACAGAGATAGTAAGGAGGGTAACTGGCTTTTACCACAACAATTACGGAATGAGTTTGTTATAAGACGTACAGAGGGAGGGAAATGGGTACATATTACGAAGATACATTGGTTAGATAACGGTAAACCCACAACTAGAGTAGGTTAGGATTAGTGATCAGAGAAAAAATCCCTCACGGGAATTTGCTCCACAATGCAACTGTTCTGGAGAATAAGATGTTTAAGTGGAACTTCTTTCTCACCAATGGAATATGAAGGAAATATGAGTGAGTCATGTCAGTGTGCGTGACTTGGCGGGTCTGAGCTGGGAAGGTCTGGACTAGTGGAATGTAGTTCGCCGCCAGTACATCTGCCATGAAAATACCACTAGAGTTACGAGAGACTGGCAACGTGGGGAAAGAGGTTGCAGGGTGGATAACAATTCATCACTCACAAGGCCGCGCAAATGTTTTTGCATTCTGTCAAGGCTGGAAAGAGTGGATTAATTCATTAAATGGTTAAAGTCTCATTCTCAAATAGTATCACGCGCATCCACCGGTTCAATGTCACGTGCGACAATGGTCAAGGTCACAGACACAAAGTGATAAAATTCCAACTACGATAGCGACTACCCATGCGCACCAAGCGTGATAGGTCGTCGTCAGTACAAAAACATTCCTTTTTCTGTCAGAAAATCAATGTTAGAATTCTGATCTTCGTCTGATATTTACCAAAGGTTTCCCAATTGAATTAGTGAGATGAATGCACCATATTAATACCACAATAAATATCACAGTCTTGGATCCTATTTGTTTGAGTGTGATACTTTAAATACTGACGTCATCTCCAAACATAATAAAATTGCAGGCATTACTTTTCGGACAGATCATTGTAATAAACAGATAGATAGCTAGATAGATAGCTAGCTAGATAGATATGAACAGGCTTATATCGACAGATATATATAAACAGGCATAGATAGATAGCCACACATTATGAAATGGACAAAGTCCGACAATTAGTTTTAAAACATTTTTATGTTTATACATTCTTTTTTTATAGATACAGATATTTAAGTGAGTGCTCTGTTTATAATAAACAGTATTAACAACATTTACCGACTTGAATGTCCAAGAAATTCTCATAGAAAATATGCGTCCTCCGACAGGAATCGAACCTGTATCCTATACGGAACCATCATATATATATACAGTAAACTAACCGGAACGCTCCTCTGTGGCGAAATCGGTAAAAGCACGTCAGGCTATATGATAGATAGATAGATAGATAGATAGATAGATAGATAGATAGATATGAACAGAGTGGGGCACCTCGAGGTGGTGTAATGGTTAACAAGCTTGCCTCGCTAGAACATTTACGACTGAATAGTGAGCTCGATCCTCACTAGGTTCCCCCTACTTTCGGCCTTGTGCCACATCTAAGCTACGCTTGGAAAATTACTAGATATGAACAGAGTGAAATAGATAGGTGTGAATAAAATGAGATAGGAACAAACTGAGAAACGTAGATAGATAGATATAAAGACAATGAGATAGATAGTTACTCAAAAGTAATTTCTAATAAATTACGCTACCCCTGCAATAAATATAGCAAATCTTATTCAATAAAGATTGCTACATTTTTTTTTTCCAGAAAAATTATTATTGCGCTCCCATTAAAAAGTGCTGGTGTTGCGCTTCTAGTAGCAAATGAATTATTACGAATTTCACTGCGGGTATTACTGTAAAGTGAACGCAAACTATCCCAGCCAAAATCGTCAATATATATATATATATATATATAGGGTGCGATGGATAAACTTTCGTTTACATTAACCAAAAATGAAAACAACACTGATATCTCATTTTAACAGCTATATTTATCAAAATTACACAAAAATATCTTGAAATACTAAAGATACTATTCAATAAAATCGCCATTGGGTTCAACCACAGCCTCCAGATGACTTCAGAATCTTCCTCATCTCTTCTGGACGGTCTCCTTATTTAAGTTAGTGAATGCTGCCAGAATCTCCACCTCCTCAAGGCACTTGATGTAGGCCTCCGTGTTGTGTCTGAGGCTTTCATCAACAATTTCGTGAGTTCTTTTCTTATCAGAACAATCAGAGTGAGGTTTCCTACTTGCTGTACCTTCGTAATCACAATTAGACTCATCCAACTCTTTCCGAATCCTCTGCACTGTCCTCAGATTGATACCGAAACACTCTGAAATGTTCATATTGGAGCTTTTGGTGAAAATGCAAGCAGTACAACAACTGGCAGAGTGAATTACATTATGGTGCTCTTTTTCTCACAGACGGTGCCCAACTGACCCTACTATACCCTGCAGCTGATAACATCAAAATCAGACAACGCGCATGCGCAAAATTAAAATATAAAATGGCGAAAATTTACCCATCGCACGCTGTGTATATATATATATATATATATATATATATATATATATATATATATATATATATATATATATATATATATGATAGAGAAGAGAGAGAGAGATAAAGACTTCAATCTTGATCTCTCCAAATCAAGAAGCAATCTTTATCTTGCCTCTTTACTCTTTTAAACCTCGCTTCATATCATACACCTCATTAATCATTAACATTTTCGCTCTAACTCTTTACCTTAAGTTGCTCTTGAGCCTTGTATTAGGTGAAATTTAGTATTGATATATAGGTGTTTGTGTGTGTGTAAAACTAGTGATTGACCAATCATATTTTATTCAGCCACTTAAATACACAGAAGATTAATTACTAAATCTGCAATTTATTTCCTTGGCCAGTTATCTTGTCTGTCTGCCAGTTAATCGACAATGTGCTTATAAATGAAGAAATTACTGCTAGTCAAATCAGTATTCTTAAATTGACAACAGGGGTCAGTGTTCGAGCTCAGATAAAAAATGGGGATTATGAATGTTGATTTTCTATGTTCGCCGTTATTTGGTAAAAATGGTGTAACAAGCTTTTCAATCTCTTCTTTCAAATTGTCCTTGTACCAGACTATGCAACGCTTACTAATTGTAATAAATGAAAAGGCACGTTTCTTATGCTTTTGAGATGGTAGAGACTATAAGAGTCAGAGAGAGAGAGAGATAATGATAGGAGAGAGAGAGTGAGAGAAAAGATACAGAGAGAAAGAGAAGGGAAATAGAGAGAAAAGGGGAGAATCAGAGAGAGAGAGAGATTCTTGATACAGTGTCAAAAATAGTGTAAAAAATGAAGATACAGAAAGTAAAAAAAGAAGAGGAGAAAGAAAAAGCGAGAAAATGCAGATAGAGAGAAAGAGAGATAAAAAGGAAAGAGAGAGAGAGAGAGATAATGATGATACAAAGAAAGAGCCAAAAAAAGGGAGAATAAAAAAGATTCAAAAAAGAAGAGATAAAAAGAGAGAGAGAGAATGGAAATACAGAGAAAGAGAGAAAAGAGAGACACAAAGAGAGAAAGGGAGAGAGATCATGATAGAGAGAGAAAGATATAAAATACAGGATTAGAAGATACAAATAGGGAGAAAGAAAGAAAGAAAACTAGAGATATAAAGAAAGAGAAGGGAGTTACAGAGAGTGAGAGAAAAGGGATCTATAAAAAGAGAAAAGGAGATACAGCAAAAGAATAGCAGAAAAAGAGAGAGAGAAAAAAAGAAAAATAGATACGTACAAAGAGAGATACAGAGAAAGAGAGAAATAAAGAGAGAATGGAACTTCAGTACATAGAGAAAAAGAAAGAGGTCGAAAGTGATAAAGAAATGTGGTATAAAGGGAAAAAGTGCAAGAGAAAGAGAAAGATATAGAAATATAAAAAAGCAGTTAGAAAAAGAGAGAAAAGAGAAAAAAAGAGAGAAGAGAATGACAGAGAAAGAGAAGAAATCAGAGAGAGATATAAAGAGAGAAGGGAGATTCAGAGTAAGAAAAATAAAAGATAATAGGACAGAGGGAGGCAAAAAAGAAGAAGAGAGGAAATCAGAGGCATTGATAGTGAGAAAGAAGAGAGATACAAAGTGAGGAGTAAAAGAGAAACAGGGTTCGAAACTGAGAGAGAAAGGAGAAACGTGAAAAAAGAAAGAAAGGAATAGAGGGGGGGAGAGGGTTGGAAGACAAAAGAAGTAAAAGAGTGAAAGAAAATTCGAGAAAGAAGGCCGATACATAAAAAGAGAGAAATTATATCAGCTAGTAACTGAGAGAACAGAGAAAGAAAGAGAGACTGAAAGAGAAAAAGATAGATAGATAGATAGATAGATAGATAGATAGTGTGAAAATATGTACAGATTTTATTTAACTACGTACTTTGTTCAACATTGGAAATATGAAATAATCCCCCAATCTAAAATCAAGAAGTAACCGTATCCAAATACGGCAAATGAATAGTCGAACGTATTCATCTGACAAAGTGACATGATTTTTTTTTATAACGAAACTTTTTCAAAGCTTTTGTGTTATTTTCCGCTTTCAAATAAATGCACAATTCATGACGGCTTCGTTACCAGAAATACATGCCAAGTTGCTGCGTTTCCATTCAGAAATGCGTCACAGGTTACATTTTATGCTTCGCAACTAGTGCCGGTTTCCTTTGATTACTCCATGGTCTCAGTTTGGCTACAGATGACGTAAAGATAATTGTTCAGTTGCTTAACGAATAACCTTTTGACCAAAATTCAGTGACGAGAAGTCTCTCTAACAAAGATATCAGATTTCTATACGTAATGAAATACAATCTGTATAGCCTCAGAATGTATTGTTAATGTTCCTATAAATAGGTGTCGTTCGTAATAGTTTTTGCTATTTTTATAATTTCATCGTGTGTTGTTTTTTGTTTGGGCGTTCACTATTTTCCCATAGCTGGGATCCAAAAAGGTGCTACAGCCCTGTGTCAGTGTGAACCTGGGAACAACAGCAAATAAAGAGGTGATTCAATGTTCCTTAAAACCTCCCTATCTCTCGACCAGAGGCCTCGTTGCCGGATGTAGTTTATCGTTATACCCAGGAATCTATATTAATCTGGTACAAGCTCAGGGGCAACCTTTCGACCAAAACACAATGAAGAGAATGATCTTTGACAAAAATGTCAGCTTTCGTCAAGGAAATACGATCTCTCAAGCCTCAGAGAGACCTTTTAACTAAAGCACAGTAAATCAAAAGATCTCTAATAAGGATATCAGATTTCTGTAAGCAATAAAATACGATATGTATAGCCCAAGGAGTGATCCTTTGACCAAAATACAGTGAGGAGAATGATCTCTAACAAAGATATCAGCTTTCTGTATGAACTGGAATATTGCTATTTCTATGTATGACACTATCACCTGCTGGCCCTCTACTGCTCAAAACAAACAAGATCTAAGATCGAACTACAGCAAATAAATCTCTACTGGTCGTCGCAACTTATAGGATGACCCGATGGACCACACCGGCGTCACCAGAGCATGTTATCTTTGATTTGAAGTCCTTCTCACTCCATATTGTATTTTCTTGACCCTGAAGAGGTCTTCTGATGAAGGGTTGAAGCCTTTTTAGAACCAGCACTTTTAAAAACAACAACTATAAAAAAAAGGATGAACGATTTTGTAGGAATTACAACCATCTAACACAATGTGGTAAACTGGGCGTCATAGCTATGGATGGAGCCAGAGCGAACGTTTTCTTCCCCCGATGGAAATAACGACCGTGTGTCTATAACCAAGGAAAGCCTTCAGGTTGCAGGACATCGGTTATAGTTTGACCTGGAGAGGGTTGGGCTCCTATAGGTCTACTTACCCCAGACACGTTAGGCATGACTGAATATATCTCCGGCTTTCAACCCAGATATGTGGAGAGAATTGATTAGGTGCTCAGCTGCGCGGGGACTCTACGACTACACCCGGTGATGGGATTGATGATGATGATGATGAGGAGGATATATATATATATGTGTGTGTGTGTGTGTGTGCGAGAATCTATCAAAGAGCATATTTTCGCCGGGTAAGGCCGAGTTAGGTTATTACATGACGGATATTTATAAATGGGTGGAGTGAAACATTTTTCACTGCCTTTTCGTATTAAAAAAAAAATTGCCGCGTATTTTAATATCGGACTTATGGCGTTCAATAGAATCTTTGTTTCAAAAAGGCATTTTACATGACGTCACTCTAGGTGCAGCTTTTTATATTTCCTGCTGAACATTTCAATCACCTCCCCACCGTTTCAACTACAGATAAAATGTATTGTTAATAATTCTACTATATCCACTATAAAATGTATTGTTGGTCATTTTGCTATAAAATGTATTATTGGTCATTCTACTATATCGACTATAAAATGTATTGTTGGTCATTTTGCTTCAAGATGTATTGTTAATTTTACTATAAATATGTATTGTTGGTATTTTTATACTTTCATAGTGTTTTGTTTTGACCTGAGAGGAACACCAAATAAAGAAGCCTCGTTGCCGGATGTATGTTATCATCATAACCAGTAATCTTTATTAATCTGGTTCAAGGCTACAATTGCGTGTTATCTGCTGTGAATCAAACTTCTATAGTACTGTTAAACAGCAATATTCATTTACCTACCTCTATTTAAAATGAGGTACCTATGGCGAGATTAATAGTTGTTCTAGTAATAGCGATATAAAACAAAATGACAAGAAACCATTCCATAAGTTTCTTTTTAGCTTTATAGGATCACAAATTTTAAAGTCAGTTTAAAGCAAAGCTCATGATTAAATGACAACAGCTTCAATAAAAACGTTATTGTGTTAATTACTGTCTTGCTACCGACTTCACGTGTTCCAAGATGAAACCTCTTCAAGCATTTTCTTTACAATGTTTAAATCAAAAGCTTTCTAAGTTTACGGTTAATCATCTCCGTCGTTCATTTATATAAGAATTACATGATTTTTAACATTTGATACGATATGTGGTTCTTGAGAATTTCATTGAAACACTTAAAAATACGTTTACAGAAAGTTTTACTTAGAGAATATTTATTATACAGTTTCCATAGAATTATTATACTCACGCGTAAAACATTTGTTTTATACAATTGTTTAAGATATATAAATAATCTTAAGCATTAAATAAAAACGGACATTTTTGAAATTTGAAAAACTATTAAAGAATTGAATTTGAAAAATTTGGAAAACTATTAAAGAATTGAATTTTGGAAATTTGGAAAACTATTGAAGAATTGAATTTGGGGAATTTGAAAAATATATTAAAGAATTGAATTTGGGAAATCTGAAAATTGTTGAAGAATTGAGTTTGGAAAATTTGGAAAACTGTCAGAGAATTGAATTTGGGGAATTTAAAAAAAAAACTATTAAAAAATTGAATTTGTGAAATTTGGAAAAATATTTAAAAAATAAATATTTGGAAATTGGAAAAACTATTAAACAATTGAATTTTGGAAATTGGAAAAACTATTAAACAATTGAATTTGGGAAATTTGAAAAACTATTAGAGAATTGAATTTGGGAAATTTGAAAAACTGTTAAAAAATTAAATATTGGAAAATTTGGAAAAAATTATTAAAGAATTGAATTTGGGAAATTTCAAAAATTATTAAAGAATTGGATTTGGGAAATTTGGAAAATAATTAAAGAATTCGCATAATTGTAATTAATGTAGCTCATTACATAAAAAAAAACTAAATAAAACTTCTTTTAGAAGAGTTAAATTTTAATGACCTCAATATATTCTTTCATATTTCAGTTCCATTCGTTTTATAAAAGTGGATGGATATTTTATGGTCACATTTCGGTTGTATGACATTCTTGGATTCTCTTCTCTCTCATCATCAGTCTAATGACCAGCTGCGATCGTTGGGTTCCTGCGCAGCTGAAGAACCTCACCAATTCTCACCACCTGGGCTGAAGCCGAATTCACAGCGTCTCTTGGGCAAGTAGCCCTGGCAGGTCAAATCACAAACGACATCCTCCAACTTGACTCACCTTCGTCACGGACAGGTAGACGGTATTTCCAATTCTCTGCTGGGCTTATGTCCATATACCGTTGAAACAACGGTTCCCGTGCGACCACAGAAGTAAAACCGGGACCAGTACCTTGATGGGTGATCGCTTTGGAATACCAAGAACACTAAGCTTGGATGTGCCGGTGGTGTAATGGATAATTGCTCATCATTGTTTATCGGAGAACCGAGTTCCAGTTACCGCTAGGTTCGTTATATTCGCTTACGCGCAAATATCATTGGGAAGCGTATGAATACACCTCTTATCTCCCCATCACATGGGTTAATTAGTAAGACTTTATCAATAAATTATTATTATCTCAAAACAATTCTTTTTTTTTAAAATAATTTCACCCCAATCAAGTTAATAAAGCCTCTTAGACACAAGGGCTTACTGGTTGATAGAAAGTTTGAAAAAAATAGAAAAAATTCTATAAAGGTAAATGAATAACAAAAGAACGTAATGTTTAGTCCATGACCTGAAGATTGCGTTCAAGACTGAAACTGACTGTCGCAGTTTAGTGTTGATCCCAGTGTCCATTTTGACATTAGCATACGCTCTATCTCTGATAGTCAGTACTTTTACACATAAATATAGCATACCTTAAAACTATATTTTATTACACATATATACATACACACATACGCACAAACACACACACACACACACACACACACACACACACACATATATATATATATATATATATATATATATATATATATGTATGTATGTATGTATGTATATGTATATATATACGGTCCTCAAGAGTTCCGTCGATAGCTGTGCTAGCACAAAGCCACAAGTCATCGTGGCCGAGGGTTTAAGTGTGCTGGCATTGTTCAAATTGTTTATCACACTAGATAACAAGCTCTCTCCCAGAAACTGTAACTAAGGTCTGCTCAGCATAGTTGTAGTATAAACTACAGGTTGGCTCTGTGGCTGTTGAATAAACACGAAAATGCGCCTGCAACAGAGATTCTCTAGCTACCCTAATAGATGGGTATCATCAAATAGGTATATATATATATATATATATATATATATATATATATATATATATATATATATATGGAGTCGTTGATCGACGCAGGCTGTTGAACCGCGCCTACCGGGCACCCTTTTTACGACGTAATATATGATGATTGTATATATGTTTTTTAGTTTTTTGTTTTTGTTATTTTGCAGAACTCTTTTTGATGA